AGAGGTCGTGCGAAATGCACTTGTTCCAAATCACAACCTCCACTTTTCGGTGCCTGACGACACCATCAGCGTCCTCGATTGTTGTTGCAATCCCGCGACCTAACCATCCACCACCGCGCAATGCCGCCCGACACAACACCGGACAGCAAGTCTGACACTTTCACGTCCGTGCTTCCCGTCGTTGAGGATGTGCTGGAGTGTGTGTACAACCTCGCCGAGGGCGGGGATACGACCATTGACGAGGTTGTGACCAAGGTGGGTGCTCCCTCAGTCTCGCCGCCGTCTTTCCGCCGTACCTGCACAACAAGCGTCAAGGCTCATAGCACCTCTTCATGATCCTTTCATATGTGTTTTGCCTTCCTTGATAGGTGGGGCAAGACATGTATGCAGAAGAAGTCGCGATGGGGAAGCGGAGAAGCCCCCGCATCCCTGACGTGTACAGGCTGACAGCAGGCCCGCGAAATCCAAGCTCAGTTGAACGGTATGAAGGCTGCCGCGACGGCGCTTCCAGGTGGACACATCAGCACGCAGATGATTGGCGAGCTGTCGAATGTCTTCGACGCGCAGACCGCGGAGAGAAGGTGAGTCCATCCCTTTCCTTCCCTTCCCTCTGGCAAAGGTCTTACAACCAAGTGCCAGGTTTAACACACATCCTTTAGCTTGTGATGATCTGGCAGTAAGGATTGTACAACAACTACTTCAGTGGAGGAGAGGGCAGGCGCAAATGAGCCGTGGGGAAGGATCTCAGCTGACAGGGTAGAGAACTGCTAAAGCGGTTTGCGGAGACCAGCACGCCGACTGCTGATCGGATAGCGAGCGAGGAAACCAAAGAGGACTAGACGGAGAATAGACTTTGTATCATACTAATGTACGATCTCTACAGGAAGAAGCGGAGCAGCTCTTTCGCCATTCTGGGTATACCATCCAGCTGACAGACTTACCACTTGTTGACGTTCAGCGACGATACCGTGCTGCCGACGACGCGCAACGGCCGATGGCTGTGGCTTTCACAGCTCTTCCACTCTGTAGTGCTGTCGTGTAGCTAGGCGGCAAGAGCGACCGATACTGCCGCACGATGCCGACCGTCGTGCGCTGCCCAGCCCCCTCACTCTCGGTATTGCGAAGTGTACTAAAGAGTATGTCGACCACAGACACAAACACTGTTCAAGGCCTTCGGGAACGTAGAATGACAACGGCCAGAGGGATAGCCATCTTAATTTTTGCAACAGTGCTCTGTGCCAGACATCAATCCCCGCGCTTCCTTCATCAGCGCGCGACAGCCTGCCATCTTGCTGCGCGTTCACGACTGGGGGTACATCACCGTGAAATGCTTTGGAAGCTAACGTGCCTCCGTGTTCTCCGGATAGCTGCAAAACGCATCTTCAGATGATAAAGGGTGTCCTACTTATGTCGTTGCGAGGCGGCATGCACAGCATTCACGTCGTCGTGAGCGCGAGGCGACAGCAGGACTGGTCAGAAATGACAGCACTTGTTTGCACAATTCTCGGCCATTATCAGCAACCGACCGAGGATGTCGGAGCCGTGCTCAAGGATTCCGCGTCTCTTAGCATCTCTCTGATTTTGGATGGCAGGCACCAGAGCAATGCTGTTCGATTCAGTGTCGGTTGGATCTGTGGTGATGGTGTGTGGTAGCAATTCCTCTCGCGAGGACAAGCCGACAAACCGTCCGCTGGGCTCCGCTATGGATAACCTAGCCTTGTGCACGAAGGAAGACAAGGAATGCCAGTTAGCTCTGCAGAACTGCACTAACGAGATCTCCTCCGCTAAAGATAGACCGAGGCCAGGGCTGTTTGAACGCGATCCAGAAGTCTGGGATTGTGGCATTCGCTTAAGGCATGTTCGGACCACCACCTCCTTCCCGCAGCATTTTTCTGGCCGAACACTCGCGCTGCTTCCCGCCTTGTCGATGCAGCTGCGATTACATTAAAAGCTGATACTTGTTGGGCCGAGGGTCTGCAACTTCCGACATCAACACAAGGCACACTAAGAACACAGCTACTACTTCTGACAACCTCGAGCAAAATGTTCACAAACCTCCTTCTCGCTCTCGTCACCGCCGTTCCGGCCCTCGCCGACAACCAAATTAAGCCAAAGAACACCGATTCCGACCTCTGCATCGATAACACCAACGGGGTTCTGATCGATGGTAACCCTCTGCAGGTGTCAGTCATCCTATCGGTGCGCCCGTTTTTCTGTAACTCACCTTCGCAGCTGGACCTGCTACCGCGGCAACACAAACCAAGGCTGGGCCTTCAACCAGGACCCTGCCGCTCCCACCCAGTTTAAGATGGGCACAACTGGGAGATGCATCGGTGTCGCTTGGCCTACGAGTGCGTCCCTCCACTTTCCCCTCTTGCTTAACATCCTACTACCTTCTCCGACGCTAACAACGAGGCGGAAATCTCTTGGATGCCCCCGTCGTGCTGGCCCCCTGCACTGGACCCGGGTACAGGACCTGGTTCTACCGTACTGGTGACTACATGTGTATCCTTGGCACGAGTGAGTGTCTTTCCGAGTGTTTGGAGGTGTGCCACGAGGACGCGAAGTGGTATGAGGGACTGCGGATCGGCGAGAGCCGATCTGACCAGGAACGAGGAGGAATGCCTCGATCTGGCCGGATCCGCAGAAGCCTCGTCACATTCCTTTTGTTTCCGGTATATGGCTTGAGCTCTTCACCGCCTCATTGTCGCCTTAATTACGTGCTACCGGTGACCAGTCGGTGCAGAGGTCCAGGCGAGGCCGCCTTCGCTGTGTGCATTCAGTGTCAGTGACTAGTGAAAGACGACGTCGGCAGTGATCTGTCGAAACGTCTCAGATCCGTACGAACTAGATTCCAGAACTCCGCAGCCGAGGGTGCGATCGACGATCGGGACCCGCGCACCTTCTTACCGAGTAACGTCGTCTGCGACTGACACCAGACTACTGCGTCCAGCTCGATGAGGAGTGCCCCGACGACGGCACCAACCTCAAGATCGCTCTCAAGACGACCCCGCCTGCGCTCCAATTCTTCGACTACACAACTCCCGCCAACTGAATCAGCGCAAGGACACTGATGTGTCAGAACTCTGAACAGAAGGACGTTTGAATCGAATACTGGCTCTGAACATTCGCCTTGTGTCCCGCGACCCTCTTTCCTTCAAGTCTGTAGTCTGCCGTAGTGACATGGATACTCTGGGAGTTGAACCAGCCGTCTCGTGCCGTGATCTGCCGTGGTGTGAGTGGATCGAAACGGATATAGCTGGTAAGTCCCAGGTGCGGATAGGAGACTCTGGAGGCTCCATCAGGGAGGCTGCATGCTGCACACCAGAGGGCAGGCATCACATCCAGGAGCTGGAAGTAAATTAGAGGCGGACAAGTCAAAAGCTTAACAGGCTATTCGTCGCTAGCATCGCCAGTCTGTGTGCGTCTGAATCAGCAAACGTAACGTGGTTCCTCGGTGTGACAGATATGCGCCACTCTAAGAATCCGTTGTTCGGCCATGCGCACACGCGCGGCCGTCGTCGAAGATGTGTAGGCTGGCCAACCAAATACTTGGAGGGTCATCTGGAGCAATTCCCTTCGCTCGGAGCTCGCCGTTGACACGGCACCGCTCAACGGGAATGGTCACAGTCCCCCCTAGCCTCGATTCCCTCAAAGTCAAGCGGGAAGGCACCGGAGCTACCTCTGAAATTCATGTGGTCGTGCGAGTGCTCTCCCCATTCCTGGCGTGCGGACTGTTCCACTTCCGCAATCCCGTCAGTCAGTGCGACCGTGCCCGTTTGTCCGTTGCTGGCTGACTTAGGCCCTCCATCAGTCGTTTCTGAGCGCCGTGGCGTCAGGCGGCGTCGCGCGGCTTCGCTGGATTCCTGCAAACGGCCGTTGACTTGCTTAAGCGCACGCCGGCGCTCACAAACGTTGACAGCTGTGCATTTCCAGGGCATCGCAGGCGTGCGGACAGCGTCTGCTCATCAAACGCCGACGCCAAGCCTTCGGCGACCCTTCGATTACCCTCTGAACCCTCGAAATCTGCCCATTTTGACGTCACAAAGAAGGTACGCACACTCCGCGCTCGCACTTGGAATTGTGTCGACACTGGGCAGAGCTGGGCAGAGCCCACCAGACTCCCGAGCGTAGCGACAGAATGCCCGTTTCCCTGCACATCTCATCGTGAACACTCGAAGCTCACTCGTCAATCGTTGCATCCGTTGCGCATCCCGCGGAGTTCCCTTAGCAGGCGGACGCCTCCGAGCGAGCCGACCGGCGCCTCCTGGCTGGGGCTGTACACTCGGGCTTGAGATCTGGTCGGAGGGACACAGTAGGATCCGAGGCCCACAGAGCATGCAGAGCAGCTGATCTCACAGAACGAGCAGGGACGGGCTGATTCACCCATTCCTTGCTCCTTCGCTCCGTGCGCTCCGTCCTTCCCTCTCATGCACCGTCACCGGCGGGCAACGTAACACACATGTCCATGCCATTACTCGGTTTGCTCCAACGGCCAGCCATATAAAGCCCACTGACATCTTAAGCGACACTCACCCAACTCTCTACTCTCCTTTCACTCAGCACACCGTATACACACTCGCAATGCTCGCTGCTCTCCTCGCCACTGTCACGCTCGCCGCCCCCGCGCTCGCCGCTAACCACATCAAGGTCCAGGGCGCCGAGTTCGATCTCTGCATTGACAACACCGACGGAAAGGAGGTCGCCGGCAACCCCCTCCAGGTCTGGAAGTGCTACACTGGCTCGTCCAACCAGGCGTGGAACTGTGAGTTGTTCCCCGCTGATGTCTTTACTGACGTTCCAAGTCTCTGACACGGGCAAGTACCCTACTACTTTCAAGCTCGGCGACTCCAACCTGTGCATGGGTGTCCAGCAGTCGCCCCTCGCTGACGGCGCCCCCGTCGTCCTTATGGACTGCGCCGCCGGCTACGACCACACCACCTGGAGCGCTCCGAACGGCCGCATCTGTCTTCTCGGCACCAGTGAGTACACAACGCCATGCCATGATTAAGGTTCCATGGAACAGAGCTGACAACCAGACTACTGCCTCCAGCTCGATGACGACTGCGCCCACGACGGCACCAAGCTCAAGGTCATGACCCTCTCTACCTCCCCGAGCCAGCTCTGGGACGTCAAGGAGCCCGCCTACGAGTAAGGAAGGATCAAGCGGACAACAAACATCACGGACAATCAGTTGCAAACGCACGAGGACATTTGCTATGAATAATCACGCTTCACGTCGTAGACTGCATGTATCTAGTGTCAGCAGTGCCATCAGTATAGACTCAACGGAAGGGCCTTTGCGCCTCACACCGTCAGTGACCACACAGCCAGTCCAGATCAATGAGAGGGGTATGCATGAGCGGTTAAATCTGCCTGAGTGGTGAATATGCCTACGGAGTGGACTACCTCTCCTCGACCTCTCCCTCCTCGATCTCAGCCTCGGCGTCGGCCGGCTTGATGAGGTTGATGATGTTGATGCGCTCTGCCTGTCAGCTCCGTTCCCAGTCTGTCGACCCACGGTGCCTCAGCAGTGGCCGGTCAGGAAGGGGCGTGCCATCGGTAGCGTTTCCTCCTGCCCGCATCTCAAGTTCTGCTTCGACGAACACGGTCGACCTGACATTAGCTACCACGCGCTTAACCAAGCTCACCCTTTGCCAACGCGGGAAAGGACGTTGTGCGACGCGTCGTTGAAGGCAAAAACGGTGTGCCATGATGTAGGGGGATTGACGCGATCTGCCGTGAGCCAAGGGTTTCTGGCGAGAGGAAGCTACGCACTGCCCTCCTCGTCTGTCGTAGGGGCGCCCACAGTCGTCGCCACAGTGTAGCTATCTATCAACCAGTCATCCCGTAGCATTGGGCTCACGTATAGTACGGCTTTCCAGACGTCGTCTGTGGTCAGCTGAGTCAGGGGAAGGCCATGACCTACCTTGCGCAGGATCGGGTCAGCACCGAGCCGTCCGATCAAAGTGACGCGGGACAGGTCGAGGCGGGTTGCGCTCGAGGAGAAGAGCTGGCTGTTAGTCGTTGATCAGACGTTCGCCAAAACTCACGCGCACACTCCGCCTCGAGGCGATATTCCGCGCGGCAGTCGAGAACAGCATAGTGATGATGAGAGTCGATGCGGAATCACGATCAGCCGGCCGTCCCCGAAAACGTCATATGGGACGCTTTGTTGTTGTCGTTTTTGCCTCCGCCGCACCAGCCGGCGGCAGTATGAGATATGAGATGAGCGATGATTTCGAGTTCAATCCACTCCACAACCTTGACCTTCCTGCAACTGCAGGGTGCCGTCGAGCTTCGTCGAAGCAGACGCGCACCTTGTTCTCCACTTCGACCTGACGAGTTAGCGCTGAGGAGCCGCCTCAGGCAGCTACAGCGAGCATGGCGTACCTCTGCGCCGAGTGTCGCGCGGCCGGCGTGCGGGCCGAACCTGGCGCAGCGACTACCGACTTCCTCGTGTGCTGTTCATTCTGTGGACGGGTTGATGAGGCAGCGACGGCGGGGAAGAACACGGTCGACGAGACAGCGCAATGGGGCGCGCTGATGAACGAGCACGGCGTTTCTACCGTCTCCTTCGATGAGTATCGCGAGAAGCAGCACGAGGTGACTTGGGCTTTCAATCGCTCGAGTATAGCTAATGACAGGACTTTGTGAACCGGATACTGGATGCCTATCTGCTCGACGGTCGGAGCCGCCTCACACTGCAGCCCGCGGACCACTTCAAAGCCGGCGCACGACATTGGTACAACCTCCTGCGCGGGCGGGAGTCGACGACGAAACAGTTCAAACACGCGACGACGAGCAACACGGCGAAGAAGGTAGCGTACCGCCTCGCTGTTGCAGTGCAGCTCTCAATTACCGAGAGCAACGTCTTTGTCGTGAACAACCGCCTGGCACACGTCAAGCCTCTCGAACCCGGACGCAGCAGCGCCGCCCGCGGAGACGGCACGATCATGGCCCCAAGCCTCAGAGCAATCTTCGAGCGCGCGAACTCTCTCGACCCACACCACCCGGCGTACCTCGAAAGCTGGGAGATGCTCCGCCTTACGGGGCGTGCTTTTCGCGATCTCCGCCCACCACCGCCTGCCGCCGACGCCGTGCTCGCCCAGGCGTTCGTGCTCATGAACCGGATACAATATCTGGTTAAGCTGGGAGATGAGGAGCGGATACGGGAATACCAGGTGCGCGACCTGACACCAAACGCTCTCCGCCGTCGTGTGAAACTGGAGTCGGCGCGCCCGGAGGACTACCAGCTCAGTCCGGCCTCGTGGACACTGCTCGGCACCGTCGATTGGGAGCGCGTCCTGACGACGGCATATGGCCTGTTCTGCGCACAGCAAACTGTCTGCCTCTGGGGCAGCCGTACTTCGGTCAACGTCTCCGCTGCCCTTCTGCTTGTGTCCCTCGAGGCCGAGATCGGCGACGTGCTGGCCTCTCTCACGGCCCTCACGAGAGAGTTGGTCCTCCCACACGCCGGAAGTGAGCACAATGTGCTCCGCCGTCGGTCAGAACTGCAGCGCCTCATCGTCGGCTGGAGCTCCAGTTTTCCCACTGCGCGTCTCACGATACCCATTATCCCGCCGCCGAAGAAGGGCACCGTCGGCACCGGTCTGACGGGGTATGCTAGCGACAAGCGCCGCGGCATACCAGAGGCAGTCATGGTGAATGCGGCTGCGCCAGTGGTTGCGGCGCACTGGGACTTGCTGATGCGTACCCGGCTTGCTACACGAAATCCCCCCTGGTCCCTTCGGCGAGAGTATCGGACAGCCGCAGAAATGTTCGCCCGTGCACACAACCACGACATGCAAATGCGCAAGATCGCGGCGAAGAACGCCAAGAAGGCTCAGGCGGCTGCGCGTAAGACGGCTTCGACGCCGGCATCGCGGCATCCCAGCCCCGCATCCCCCTCTGTTGTCTCACTTCGCGCAGTGTCGCAGCCACCAGGCGCGGCTCTGCCGACACCAAGAGGTTCGACGCCGGGAGCGGGGAGAAAGCCAACGAGCAGAGAGGACATGCTCCGCATGATGGACGTGCCGATCGAAACGCTGCTGGCAACGCGAGAGGACAGCTCGGATGAAGAGGCGGATGCTGAAACGGACGACGAATCGCGGCCCGACATTCTCACAGGTGATACCCGGCCCAGCTCCGTGCCGTTCGGCTTCAGCATTGGACCAGACGGGTTCAGCGTTGCCCGCGACGCCTCGGAGCCGCCAAAACGACCCGCTCCCATAGCAACCGAGGTAGCGTCCAAACGTCCCCGGATCGGTCCTCAAATCCCTCTGTCACCGCCGACAACAGCCTCAAGCCGTGAGCCTTCCCCAGCTCGCACCGTCCGCATCCTCAAGACATCGCGAGCGACAACGGCCGCGACCTCTCTGCGCTCCGTTTCCATGTCGCCCACTCCCTCGCACGCCTCGACTCTTGTGCCCGTGCAGGAAAGCGACGCGACGCGGCACATCGGCCTTCTCCTGCGTGAGCGCGAGATCTACGCCTTCTTCAATGCAGACGCCGAGCGGCGCCGCGGTTTCGCCGTGTCAAAGGAGATCGAGGCAGCGATGAACGCATGGCTCTCTGCGCAACGCAAGACGGGCAAAATACCTGCCAAGTTGGACGCGGCTTACTACAAGCAACTAGGCTTCGATGGTGACCCGCACGAAGTTGATGTCGGGCCGTTCATCGCACGACACAGCGAGTGGTCGCCGACGGAGTGTCTACTCAGACTCGGCATCCGGCCGATCGAGTTTCCAGCACACTTCGTCGTACACTCGATGGCTCAGCTGCGTAGAGAGCTTTACGGCGAGGATCCTGAAGCCGAACTCGCACCAGAGGGCGAGCTTATCGGCCCAGGCGAGCTCGACCGGGAACTTGCTGTGCTGTTCGCTACGCCTGGAGAGCGGATTAGCGATATTCTCTGCTCCGAGACTGAGGTGCAGCAGAGGAGGACACTGTATGAGCGCATCTGGGCTGAGAGCGAGGGACGCTGTGTCGCTGCTGCTCAGAAGCAGATTGACTCGACTGGCGTCGTGGAGGACGATGACGAGGGCGAAGAAGAAGCGGTAGCGGCCCCAGTGCAGAGAGGCAGTAGACGGATCAATATGGCCGTACTCGCCAAGCTCTGCGGCGATGAGGAGGACGAAGACATAGGCGCCGCAATGCGGTATGACGGGCTTGGGATCCCGAGCGTCGGCGGACTGGGGGAGGACGAGGAGGAAGACTAGTTAGAATGCTCCTGTATGTACCACTGTATCGATTGCACTTTGCGCCCTCCTCGCTCGAGCAGCGTGTAGATAAGACAAAAAGGGGTATAACTTCTGCATCTCTCAGATACGCCTGCCACAGATCGCCGTGCTGTGTATGTGTCTTTTCGTCTATGACTCGTACCATCACCACGAGCGCCGCGTCGGCACCGTGCCTCTCGCTCCACACCGAGCAACACCGCCGAGTCAACTCTACTTCGCCTCAGTGTCGGGTTTCGCGTCGCCATTACTCGCGTCGCCGTTGCCGCTCGGACCGTCGATGAGGAACGGCGACGAGGCGTATTTGGCGTACTCTGGGCGCGCGAGCGAGTTGAGCGCGACCTTGACGTCGGTCTGGATGTCCTGAATGAGGGCCTCTGGGTTGTTAGCGCTGGTCATTCTACCGGTTTCGCTGTGCCTCGCTGCTGCTTTTCAACACGCTCTCAGCCAGTCCCAAAGCCGGGGACACAATGAAAGGGCTGCTGGCTCCAGGAAGCTATTCGCGAGCTCGGTTACTCACCCTTGCTAACATAGTCCAGCTCCGGGCGGATGTAGCCGAGAATCAGCACACTCATGTCGTGCCCGTAAAAGTCATGCGCGAAGGGGTGCATGATGTGGACCTCGGCCGTGATCTTCTCGTTCTTGAAGTACGGGTTCCAGCCGACGCTCATGACCATGGGCCAGACTTTGCCGTCCTCGTCTGGGAGACGGTGCAGGCGCTGCGTTCCGCCCGGCGTGGAGGGGACCGAGTCGGGAGGGTACGGCGCCGTCTGGGCGGGGAGGGAGGCGATGGCGGACGAGGTGAGGGGGTTGGTAGTGAGGGACTTGGGGGCGGAGGGGTGGTGGTGGTGGATCGACGAGGCCAGGTTGGCGCTCGACGCCGAGGGCGTCATGGAAATCGGCGTCGGCGCGGCCGTCGGCAGAGGCGTGGAGACCGTAGGGTGGATACGCGCGAAACCGTAGTAGATGCCCGTCATGCCCAGCTCGTTGAGGGGGCCGAGGGACGAGTCGGGGAGGTTTGCTGGACATTAGCACCGTCGCATTCTTCCTTCCAAAGCCCCTCCTCTCCGTCACTCCTCTCTCGGCCGCGACATGTCTACTCAGCCGAAAGGTAGTCATCGGAGAGGAATAGGGCAGCACTCTGGCACTCCGCGCCCGGTGCAGTCACGTACCAGTAGGAATACCGAGGAAGCGCGCACCCCTTCCAAAGCCCTTGGTAACAACACCATGCAGCTGCATCGGGTACGGCGCCTCGGGAGCGTCGGGGCCGACGATGCTAGGCCGGTTCTCGCGCGATACGGGCGCCATCGGGGCTGCGGGCGCTGCGGACTCAGACATGGCGCTGTAGTTTGTTATTGCTTTAGCTGTGGTGAGGTAGAACGGGGGCGAAGGAAGAGACTGATGGTTGAAGGAAGACCAGAGATGGAGTCGAGCCAAGTCAGAACGCTAGCATGCCCTGCGGCCAGCGCCGATCGGTAATCACGCCTATGGCTGTGTGCCGGGGACACGCCGAACACACCGAGACACTCCCTGCGCTGGTCACGGGGGCAATATGTCAGCAATCCCAGGTCGCACTCAGGTTCAGACAGGTGCAGCCTCCACCGGATCCGGCCCCGGCCTCCACTTTCGTCTTCTCCCGACCGATCGCCGGCCGACACGCTGCACCGACTGACAACAACGACGAAGAAGAGCACAATGAGGGCGACGAGACCACTGGGACAGCTGCTGAGGTACACTCTCACCTCCCCATCACCGCTTATCCGCATTCGAGGGTCTCCGAAGGCTCCACCAAGTCTCGCCGAGGACTTCGCAATCTATCCTTCCTTCTTCAACGAGGCAGAGTGCAGACAACTCCTGAGCATTGCGCTGTGGAAGCTGGACAGGCTCGATGTAACGCGGAAACGAGGCTCGAGGCGGCGATCAGCTTCGTCTGCTCCTGCTGGGTCTGCTTCGACAGGGGATGGTGCACCACTGCAGGACATGTTCACGGGCACCTACGGCTTCGAGGAGGTAAGCTGTCGAACAGCTGGGTACGGCTGACGAACAGGGCCACTTCGACAGTGTCATAACGCAGTACCGCGAAGCGCTTATTTCGAACTATCCCCCAGTCGCTGGGGATGTTTCATGGCTGTCCAGGCTGTACCAGCTCGTTCCAGGTCTCGAGGGGACGACAGACGTCCCGCCACCAAACTCCTCGACTCATGCCCTGCACTTGAGTCCAGAGGGCGAGATCCTCGCGCACGTCGACAACGTCGAGGCGAGCGGACAGACTATCGTCGGCGCCTCTCTCGGCGCTGCTCGGATATTGCGCCTCGAGGATAAAGAGGACAAGCAGCACGGCTGGGACGTTTTGATGCCCAGCGGATCAGTCTATATGCAGAAGTGAGCAGCTGGAGGATTGCGACAGGTTAGCTGACAGACGCAGGGGCGACGTGCGGTACGGGTACGAACACTCTGTTCTCGGCTATAATCACGAAGGGAGCCTCTGGGACGGAGAGAGGTTGAAGCCTGGCCATCGGGTCAGCTTCATGGTTCGCGTGAGTTAGTATATGAGAGTCGAACTGACAGCAGGACGCACTGACCCGTGCCGCGAGCCTCTAACCTCCCTCTTCAGCGTCGTCACCACTCACTTCATCGCATTTAGACCATCATTTTCACATTATGCATTGCACTGCCCGTCTATACACCTCGGCTCGACTTCTTGGCTTTCTGGAACTCATGACGAATGACACAGTGGCATTGATGCCACAGTCGCGACAGTAAACCAGTGCTCATACTGAAACTACTCATGCTCGCTGCGCTCGCAGATCACTTGTCGTTGTGCTCCATCGACTCCTTGACGTAGTATACCGTCGATCCAACGGCCATAACGGCCATCATGGCCGGGAAGGGGCCGCGGGTCTTAACTGCTCGCCTGGGGGTCAGCTATCCATCCAAAGGCACGACGTAGCTATCTCAGTCGACCAGGGAATCTGCCATTCTCACATGATAAGAGTTCCAAAGCCAGCACGCTAGAAGAACAGCAGCACTGCCACAACGTTGCGACGAGGCAGGCGAAGAAGAGGGCGAAGGTGTAAGAGGGAGAGGGAAGACGACTCACTTGATCATGGGGATCGCCAGTCCCCCACTGCTAGCAGCAGCAAGCTCGTAGCCGTACGGCAGCCCGTCGTGGATCCGCATAGCAGCCACGGCCATGACGGAGCCGACGCCAAGCCCGCCCGCAAGCGACGGCACACTTCCCGCCATCGTGTACCCCATGATGCCGCCAAAGGTCGACAGGCCGGCCAGCTGATTCGTCAGCTTGGTCTCTAAATGTGAGCTGCATGCGGGGGTGCTCTCTGGTACAAGAGCAGAACAAGGGGAATCTCGGACATAGAGGTAGGAGTTGCGGAGAGGCGGCGGCGCACGGACGCCTCGGCGGAAAGGAGATCTCGGAGGACAAGGCACACGAGGTCCTTACTCCTTGCCTCGCCTTCCCTCACACCTTTGACGAGCGGAGATACACGAAGAAGGCCACTCACAGTCGCAATAGGCTTGTTAGACTGGTGGTATTAGCTGGAAACGTCACCGTAAGCTCGGAGAACTCACCATGATTGCGTGTCGATGCGCGATGCTGTTGTGTGCCAAAGTGAACTCCGGAGTTGCCGGTGACGTCTATGACGGATTACAGCTTGGCCGATCACATGGGCTGAATGCGGCGCCGCCCAGTTTCATCCACCCACTTAAACCACTTGACCCCTCGGTCGGCCATTGCCGAGCGTCCAGATGTAATCAGCCAACGGCGTCCGTCTCATTTGTGTTTGCACGAGATCGTGTAGCACCTCGAAAGAGAGGCTCGCGGGCATGTCATTATTGTGCATTATAAACCTCTAGGCATTATCTATGCTGTTACAGGTTCCGAGGGCTGGTACAAGCGACGGTTGTTGTCTATCGTGCAGTCTATTCTGAGCGAGTGTGCGTGTTCGTGTTGTGCGTTGCGTGGGCGTGGGCGTGCTGCTTCTTGACGCTGCCCGCGCCGACGCTGGGCATGCTGTCCTTGAGGCGCTGGACCTTGTCGCGGTGCTGGATCGTGAGACGGTCCATCCAGGCTCCCTTCGGGAACGGCTTCTGCCACTGGTTGTGCAGATGGATGCCGAAGACGAAGCCGAGCTTCTCCTCGAAGATCTCGCGCCCGCTCCGGCCAAAGTCACCAATGCCGTCCCATGCGCGTCCGGCCCACTTGGCCGGGTCGGACTTGAAGGGGTCGGGGAAGCGGATGTCTGTGCGACAGTTGCGGGGGTCGAAGAAGCACCACGGCAGCACCTGGAAGGGGGTGATGTTCGCTGCGAGCAGGCGCCGGTGCACCTTCGAGTATAGGTGCGAGCCCCAGTCGAACGAGTCGGGACGCGGGAGGGGAGACGTCTTCATCACGTGGAACGTCTCGCAGAGGTACGGCGAGTGCTTCTCGAAGTGCATGACCGCGCCGTTCAGCTGGAAGAACTGCTTGTCTGGGCGTCAGTTGATACGAAGCGCATTCTAACTTACCATAGCAATCCCACTTCATGACCCACTCGCTCTCGAGGAGCGGCTGGACGTCGCGGGTGAGGATCATGTCCATGTCGATCCACACGCCCCCGTACTGGTACAGCGCGAGGAGGCGGACGACGTCTCCATCGACCCACGCGCGGCGGTCAAAAATGCCGCCCATCTGGTTCAGAACGCCTTCGACCTCCGTACCCTCCGTGAGGACAGCGGGCTCGAATTGGCGCACCTCGATATGGTTGGGCCAGTCCTGTACGAGTTCGCGCAGGCGTGCACTGCCCATAAGCTGCTCCTTGCCGTTCGTCCAGAGGATGAGCTTGGAAACGGCGAGGTTTTGCGTCGCGAGGAAGGCGTACAGCGTTGCTGCCTGTCGGTCGTCGAACGGAGCCAGGTCGGATCGCCAGTACGTGTGGAAGATCGTGTCGCGCGCCGGTACCTCGGCGATCGGCTGGACCGTCGACGCAAAGTCGTAGCACGCAAGTTCGTAGCGCAGGTTGATACCAGGGGTGAGCAGCTGGTGCCGCGGCGCCTCGTGCTGTGTCATGTTGTACTCTGGGGAGATGTTCTGGGGCTCCCAGCAGCCCTTCAGCGGCCGGATCGACTCAACCTCCTGTCGCACCCAGTCGCGCGAGAAGACCGAGAACTCGAGCTGCACTTCATAGTGCTTCGAGAACTGCCAGAGCGCCGTGAGAGCGACGAGCGCCCCGAGCAGAATCAGAACAAGCGACCGCGCCCATCGGTACCGGATGCAACCTAAGCAGCGTCGCAGGATCCAGCCGCCGGACGCCGGCCCGCGTCGTTTCCTGTAGTATGGCAGGTAGCCACCGCCGCCCGCACGGGACCGCGTGCCCCGCCGCGGTCGCTTCAGAAACGACGTCTGATCCTCCGTGTTCGGGTGGTAGCTCCGCCATCGATGCTTCCAGTCGCCGTACTCGTCGTCGTAGTAGGTGTCTCCGCTCGTGCTCGTGTACTCGGCTGTTGGCGAGGAGAGGTTGGAGGGTCCGCTGTAAGGTTGCGCTTGCATATGCGCGGCTGAGCTTCCGGCAACCGCGGGCGAGACATGCCCCTTCTCAGCGACCTGGTGGGGAGCACGTCGGTCCAGGGGCGTTCCTCGCCGGTTTGCCGTGCGCGGAGCATGGTGCATGCTGGCGTCCGACTCTAGAGTGGACAGCTCGACACCGGACTCTGGATCTGTCGTCAAGGGATCGAAGGAGCGAGGCGGGGACGGTGGTCTGTCGGAGTCGGTGACATTGTTGGAGGAGGGCATCGAAAGCTTGGGAGGTGCCGAGTGCGTGGAGGAAGGAATGCAGGGCCGGCCAGTGCGGGACTGCCGCAGAGTCCGAAGTGTTGATGGGTGGATGGGAGGGTTTGGGTGTTGTGAGTACGTGCGCGAGATAGCCTGAGCACAAAACTGCTCCTGAGCATTGCGCTGTGGAAGCTGGACAGGCTCGATGTAACGCGGAAACGAGGCTCGAGGCGGCGATCAGCTTCGTCTGCTCCTGCTGGGTCTGCTTCGACAGGGGATGGTGCACCACTGCAGGACATGTTCACGGGCACCTACGGCTTCGAGGAGGTAAGCTGTCGAACAGCTGGGTACGGCTGACGAACAGGGCCACATGGACGTGCCGATCGAAACGCTGCTGGCAACGCGAGAGGACAGCTCGGATGAAGAGGCGGATGCTGAAACGGACGACGAATCGCGGCCCGACATTCTCACAGGTGATACCCGGCCCAGCTCCGTGCCGTTCGGCTTCAGCATTGGACCAGACGGGTTCAGCGTTGCCCGCGACGCCTCGGAGCCGCCAAAACGACCCGCTCCCATAGCAACCGAGGTAGCGTCCAAACGTCCCCGGATCGGTGTTGATGGGTGGGTGGGAGGGTTTGGGTGTTGTGAGTACGTGCGCGAGATAGCCTGAGCACAAAACTGGGTCGGTGTGCTGCTGTGGAGGCGAATTCCTTAAACTATCGATGCGCAATCACGCTGTTGACGCCACCTGATATCTGGCGCACGGTCCGCTCGGCTGCTTGCGGGTGGGGGACTCCAACTGGGGTAAACGCTGTAGCACTCTGGCAGCGGGTCGACAAAGCAGAGCGGTCGGACCAGCGAGCAACGAAGATGACAATGAAATGAAAGAGGAATTTGTTGACACGTAAAGTGTGATGCACTCAGAAATCGTGTGTGAGCGTGAGCGTGCGTGTGCGGTTGCCAACCGATGACAAGTCGTGAGATTGCAAGTTTCAGCTGCTTTGTCGTCTTTTCTGGCTAGAACATGCAGCTCGAAGCCGCCATGGTAGTAGTTCTGACCGTCCAAAGGGCTCCTTGCATCCTGCGGCGCAGCGCGCAGCACTTGTAAACACCAAAGTGGTTCTGACCCAATTACTGCCTCGCATTTCGCAGCAGCCCTTTAAGTGCAGATGAAGCGATCGCTCAGCAGCAAAACGCCGTTGCGCAGGTTTGCAAGCAGAATAGAAACCGTTATCGGAAACCTGTGAATCTAGGCGTTGCGGTGCGTATCTTCCCTGCAGCTTTGCACGATCTCTCCTGGAATCATCATGCACCATTAATCAGAACAAGGAGGATCTGAGACTTGAAACCATGAAGTCGGCCTCCACCTGTGCTCGGCAGCAGATGTGTGGACCACCGCTCTGCACATTGGCGGTGAGATCTGTTGGCTGCGATCGGGTGGCGATGACTACCTCGATCACGTGAGTGGGGAGCCGTCTATTCACAGCGAATTTGATAATGGGGGGTGGTTACAACAGAGTCATGAGCGCTAGAACGCGTGATGGGTCGCGATGAGTGAGTGATTGATTGGTATGCAGGCACCGCAGGCACGGTGGTCCCAGAGGTGCAAGATGCCACTGAGACGGGTCAGCGCAGAGTGGTACGGTGTTATGATGATAACGCCGTGACTGAGATGGTTGCTGCAGCCAACCACAGAGGGGGTAGCGGCATTGACGGAGCAAGCGGAAGGCCCCGAGGCCACCTACGTCACAAAAGGGGGGGTATGCCGTGCCAGCCAGTCAGCGCCCACTGTTGATGCCGGCGCGCCATGGCCACAGAGGACAAACGCGTGATGCATCGTTCCAGTCCCAGCTCTCTTTCGTCGGGTCGTCGGACGGCAGCAAGCCTGCAACGGGGTGGTGGTGGAGGTGGCCAAAGGGCAAATGGCCCACCTCCCAGCTCCCTAAAGAGTGCCACTGTGACTGTGCCGGCCAGGCCGCAGCCCTGCGACCCGCGAGCCGAGTCCATTGCGCGAGCCTCCCCCTACCCTCCCCCCTTGGCCTGGCCGCCCTGGGCCGTCGCGCTGCCTCGCTCTCACTCGCTCCCCAACGCTTTCGCTTACTGGCCACCTCGCTGCCTCGCTGCCTCGCTGCCTCTTCATTGACCCTCCGCAAACGTAAACGTGTCTTTGGCCACCACATTTCTTGTTTACACTCTTCTTCTTTTCAACCCCCCCTCCTGCATTCTCTAGGTCAGTCGAGTTTCCCAAGCACATCGCCTACTCCCTGCCCACCCGCACACTACATCATCAGACGTCATCCATCAAAACGCGTCGCTAACTCGTTTCAGTCACCATGCCTCAGCCCGTTCCCCCCTCCTGGAAGGTAAGTTCCGACAGACGATGGATCGACCGCTCCGGCTCAATCGGACAACGACCCAAGCCCGATTGCGGTCACCTCCAAGATGCGCTTCTCGCGAGACGTGAACTGACTTTCCGTAGGACCTCGGCAAGTCCTCGTCGGACCTGCTCCTCAAGGACTACCCCATCAACGGTACCTCCCTTGAGGTCAAGACCCTCACCCCCTCCAACGTTGCCTTCAAGGTCGCTGGCACCCGCGACTCCAAGTCCAACGTCATCAACGGTGACATTGAGGGCAAGTACGTCGACTTCAAGAACGGCCTCACCGTTACCCAGGTGCGTATCAATTCGATGCTCCCAAGGCTCTCAATAGGCAAGGGCAAACTCGGATCATAAAAAGACGGAAATGGGCCCTATATTTCCGGTTTCCGAAGGGGATCAGAGACCCGCGCCAATGATGACCCGGAGACTGATGACATTGCGAACACTACTGACTCGCAACAGGCCTGGACCACCACCAACCTCCTCCGCACTCAGGTTGAGCTCGAGAACCAGATCGCCAAGGGCCTGAAGCTCGACCTCGCTACCACCCTCAACCCCGCCAAGTCGACCAAGGCTGCCGTCCTCACTGCCATCTACAAGCAGCCCTCGCTCCACACCCGTGCCACCGCCGACATCTTCAAGGTGAGTTTGCGACGACGACGACGAGCCGCGTACTTTTTAGCGCGCTCCGTCTGAATGGATGAATAGGCGAACTGACTTTTTAAGGGCCCCACCTTCACCGCTGACGCCGTTGTCGGCCACGACGGTTTCCTTGTCGGTGCCGAGGCTTCGTACGACGTCCAGGCCGGTGCCATCACCCGCTACGCTGCTGCCCTCGGCTTCTCCGCCCCCGAGTACGCCGTCACCCTCCACGGTCTCGGCAACCTCTCCACCTTCGCTGCCTCGTACTACCACAAGGTCTCGAAGGACGTTGAGGCCGGTGCCAAGGCCGTCTACGACACCAAGTCGACCACCGGCGGTGTCTCGCTCGAGGTCGGTGCCAAGGCTTACCTTGACAACGCCGCCTTCGTCAAGGCCAAGATCAACAACTCTGGTGTCCTTGTCCTCGGCTACACCCAGGCTCTCCGCCCCGGCGTCAAGGCCTCGTTCGGCCTCGCCCTCGACACCACCAAGCTCAACGACGCCACCGCCGGCGCCGCTGCCCACAAGGTCGGTGCTTCGTTCACCTTCAACTCGTAAGCTAGAGATTTGTAGGGAGCAGGAGCGCGCGGGATCATGGATTATACAGCGTGTCAATGCAGTAGTATAACAAGAAGCATATTAGGCTGCAACGAAGTGAAAGCATGACTGACAGCACCCGGAGGGAGATCGAATGATCGAATGCTGCATGTTTTCGTGTCAACAGATGGGATGGTGACTAGCGCGATCGCATGCGGATGTTGACGAAAAGGTGCCTGGGCTAGGCTCATTCCAGTGTGGATGTGTGGAAGCCATGACGGTTTTGCCTCCATGGCCTCCACCGATTGAGGAACAGAAACCACTGAAAGTCAGTCACACACTCGTTGCAACATCCTCGTCCCCATCAATCTACCCATCCATCCCACCATGTCCGAACGCGGTCGCTCAAGATCGCCGAAAGCGTTGACGCCCAGCCCGCGCCGCAACGGCGATGTCGCTATGTCGCCCCGAGCTCCCTCTGCTGGAGGCAGCGCTTCGGGCTCGCGCGTCATCGTCATTGACGGTTTAACCAAAAATGTCCACCCCGGCCACCTCCGTGAGATCTTCGGCTTCTACGGTAGAGTCACTGGTCTTGACCTCCCCGTATTCAAGGTTTGTGAGTATATGCCCCCTCAGTTAGAGCTTGGCCACTGGTAGCTGACCCCCCAGCCGGTCTGAACAGAGGTAAGGCGGCGCTCGAGTTCGACCGCCCGAATCAGGCTGAGGAGGCTGTGCGCTGCATGGATGGAGGAATTCTGGACGGATCGGTGCTGAAGGTGCAAGTGAGTAGCATTGGCTTCGACCTTGGGCGAGGATAACCAACTGACATCCAGATCTCCCCAGACCCCCTGCCGCCTCCTCGCCAGCCGTCGCCCATTGCGAGGCGCTCCCCGCCTCCTCCGCGCCGAGGCTCGTTCCGTTCGAGGTCGCCTTCTCCGCGACGCGGCGGAGGCTGGCGTCGTTCCCCTCCCCCGCATCGCCGGCGGTCTCCCTCTCCTTACGGCCGCTCGCCTTCGCCCAGGAGAGGCAGCTTTGACCGTCGCCCTCCACCCGCCTACGGCCCTGGCGCGCGCAACAACTTCGGTGGTCGTGGTGGAGACAGATTCGGTGGCGGTCGTGGCGGAGGGCGTGACTTCCGTGGTCGCGGTGGCGATGTGTATCGACCTCGCTCGCGCTCGCGCTCGCGTTCGCCCCCATACCGCCGCGCGCCTCCGCGTCGTAGCCCGGACTATGTTCGCGGTGCTCGCAGCCGGAGCCGCTCGCCCCGCCGAAGCTACTCGAGGAGCCTGTCGCCGAGGAGGAGTAGGAGCAGGAGCTACTCGCGGAGCCGCAGCCGCAGTTTCAGCCCGCGTCGATCTTACTCTAGGAGTCTCAGCCCGCGGCGTGATCGCAGTGCCAGTATGAGGAGCCGCTCGCGCTCGCGCACGCGCTCTCGCTCGCCGCGCAGCGCCAGTCCCCGCCGATAACTGCTGGACCCTTGATACAAGCAGGAGCAGGCAAGAAGAAGGCTTTGTAATACATAAAGGATGCATGCAAGCAGTTTGTTTCTTGACATTATGACACGGTGCCCTCACACAAGAACACGAAAACAGTCCATGTGTAAGCGGACTTGCCCAGCAGTCCGTGTTTGGCTTTCGAGTGACTTCATTATTCAAATCTCGATCCAGTCTTGACGATCTGGAACCGCATCAACCATCACCCTCGCCAGAATGGTGTCTGCCGCACAGCCAGAGCCAGCAAAGATGTGAGTAACTGTGCGACGTCTCGTGTTCAGCTGCTGACGTTGCGCCTCCTGTGTCCCCGCACCACCTGCGCCTCGCATCATCTGACGTCCAGTTTGGCAATCGGTTCGCCACTGTCCCAGCTCACGACACTGCAGCAGAAGGTCGAGGCCATTAACGCGAAGCATGGTCCCTTTGATGCGTGCATCGTCGTCGGCGACTTATTTAAGGCGGATAGCGACGGCTCAGAACTGAGCGGCATCAGCCGTGAGTTCAGTGTTCAAGTATGCAACTGACACCAGTGCCGGTCTCAACATATTTCACGGTCGGGAGGAATGCGCTCCCCGAGAGCGTACAGGAGTCACTGGCTAGTGGACCGGAGGTTGCGCCGAACCTCGTCTTCATCGGTGCGTTGGAAGTTGACGTGTCGCGAACCTAACTGAGACACAGGCAAGTCGAACATCCTGACTACGGCGCAGGGGCTGAAGATCGCTGCGGTCGGAGGGGCGTATGACGAGGCGACGTTCGCTTCTCATGACAACGTGAGCTCATGGTCGCCAATGCATAGCTGACAACAGTCGCAGACGTCTCCCGTGATGACAAAGGCGGGCAACCAGAGCGTGCTGTCGCATTCTGTCCTGTCGCCTGCAGCAGACGGCTCGCTGTCCGCCGCGAAGGACGCGGCCTCAGCCCTGCCGTCAGCCTTCCAGGGCGTCGATGTGCTGCTGACAACTTCGCCTCCACCATCTCTGTCCCTTCTCTCCCCTTCCTTCTCCACCTCCGGCGTGCAGCTCGCCAACCCCGCCCCGCCTTTGACAGATGTGGTGAAGGCCTCTCGCCCGCGGTATCTCTTCTGGTCCGGGGGACCCGGATTCTGGGAGCGCGAGCCGTTTGGCTGGCCGGGACCCAGTGGGAAGGATGAGCGGTGGACGCGGGCGATCAAGCTTGGTCCCCTTGGCGCGATCGCCGACGGAGGCAAGCCTGCTCGGGTGAGCTTTGCGACGCACGGTCGAAGCTGACAACAGTGGTTCTACGCGACGAGTCTGCCCCCACAGACGGCAACGACCGCGCCCCCGGTGCGGCCAGCAAATGCGACTCCCAACCCACTGAGACCATGCCAAGCGGCTCGGCGGGTAAGAAGCGCGCAGGCGACGAGGCCGAGGGCGACGCGAAGCGCGGCAAGACCGAGGAGAAGAAGGACCGCGGCCCGCCGCCCGACAGCTACGTGTGCAAGATCTGCCATATCCCGGGCCACTGGATTCAGGAGTGTCCCGACCGCGCCGACAAGGACAAGGAGAGCAGCGACCCGTCAAAACCCCGCGAGGGGTATGTGTGCAAGATCTGCCAGAGCAGCGAGCACCACATCCGCGACTGTCCCCAGAAGGGACGCGGACGGCCGCCACCCGCTGGATATGTCTGCAAGGCGTGTGGCGCCAAGGAGGAGCACTACGTCAAGGACTGCTCTGTCGTGCGCGAGAGGGAGCAGCAGCGGGGGAAGCGCAAGGAGCTGGGACCTGCAGAGTGTGAGTTGTCTCGGCATCTGCATTAAACTTACAATCAGGCTGGTTCTGCCTCTCCAATCCCAAGGTGACGAAGCACCTCATTGTCGGCATTGGGAAGGAGACCTACGTCACGTTGCCGAAGGGACAGCTAATCCCGACACACGGCGCGGCGCCTCTGGTCCCGGGTGGTGGCCACGTCTTGGTAAGTCCTGTCTTCCCCACCCTTTGGCACTACCGCTGTGCGTCCAACTCCATCAGCTGACCCCAGATCATTCCCATCGCGCACCACCCGACCCTGCTCTCCATCCCGGCGTCCGATGCCCTCGAGATCGTCTCGGAGGTGGAAGCGTACAAATCCGCCCTCCGCGACTGCTACGCGGCCTACGGCGCCGTCCCCGTCGCGTTCGAGGTGGGCCGCCTGGCCGGCCGCGGCGGGCACGCCCACGTCCAGGTCATACCTGTGCCGAAGGAACTTGGGCCCGGCGTCGCCGAGGCGTTCCGTAAGGCTGGCGAGGCCTCAGGATTGGCATGGGAGGACGAGCCGGAGCGCGCGCTCGCACGCGTCGGCCCCGCGGGCAACTACTTCAAGGTCGAGTGTCCGGATGGCACGAAAATGGTGCATCTGCTCAAGGGCAACTTTGACCTGCAGTTTGGCCGGTGAGTACGGCAGGGAGACAGAGCTGTAGGCAGTGAGAAAGGAAGCTGACAGACAGCATGGTGCTTGCTGGAATCCTGGGGCTGCATCACCGCGTCAACTGGAAGGACTGCGTGCAGTCTGAGGGCGATGACAAGGACGACGCGCAGAAGTTTAAGAAGGCCTTTGCGCCGTATGCTCCGTCATAAACTTACGCGAGCACGGTCAGATCCTTCGTAGCTCGCATCCCACGTCCATATCTTCAGACCCATGCAAAATGAAAATGTACAATCAGTATCTACGTCTTTTACTTGTTGAGCACACCGAGCTCCTCGAGCCTGCGGTCGACGACGCGCTGGATCAGGTCCGCAATCCGGCTCTCGTGTCCGAGGATGTACTTGCCCGCGCAGTCGACCTCGATGTTGACCCTGTCTCCGGCCTTCTTACTGGAGAGCGTGAGCTTCTCCTGCGAGTGCGCAATGAGCATGATGCCAAACTCGAGCTTCTTGTCGTCGACAAATGTGAGCGTGAGACTGGCGCCGTCGACGGTGACAAATCCCTTCTCGACGAGGTAGGGCATCATCGCTGCGTCCTTCTCGTCCAACGCGAAGGTGTACCGCAGGGACGCTCCGTCGGGCTCGACCTTCTTGATCGTCGCCACGCCGTCGACGTGGCCCTGTACCATGTGTCCGCCGAATCGGGAGTGCGCGGCCATGGCGCGCTCAACGTTGATCTTGTCCCCGGGCTTGAAGTCGCCGAGATTGGTCCTCGAGAGGGTTTCCGGCGCAAGACCGACCTTGAAGCTGTCCTTGTCAAAGGTCAGGACCGTGAGGCACGCGCCGTTGCAGCAGATACTGTCGCCGATGTGGCAGTCGTCGAGAATCGGCGCCGCATCGCTGATCGTGAAGATGTGCTCGGTGCTCGAGGTCGAGGGCTCGACGTGCGAGACGGTCGCGACGTGCTCGACCTGGGGTTAGCTAAAGGTCACATCAGACCAGCTTACGAGTCCGGTGAACATTGCTGTTTGTTTTGTAGAGGGGAAAGGGTGAAGAAGGAAGACAGAGATGGATCAGTCAGCTATTCCGACGAGGTGGACGTTCATTGCCGAGCTAGACCGGGGCCGGCTGAGTCGACCGGCCACAGCCGCTCACCGCTCACCCAGCCAACAGCTCATGTTGGACCAACCTTATTCCATCCACCCCGTTAACGACGCGACAATGGGTGGCTCACCACAACTCGGTGGTTCTCAACACGTCCAGACTCTATAGCGCGCAAGCATCAACAACAACGTCCGTCCGTGGCGAAGCCGCCATCCATCCAGATCCGCTTTCCTGATCCTCCGCCACACACACCCCTCAACATGGCGTACCCCCAACGCCAGACACGGAGCAGGGGAAACTCACACACCCCCGTCCCCGCCGTGCCCATCATGCAGCCGCAGTACAAGCGTGCGTACCCTTGCCTTCCCTCATGACTTCTCCGAGATCTTCCCATTGATCGGCCATCCTCTGGCCCATGAATCCATGGATGAAGCCGTCCATCCTGAGCCCCCTCGGTGTCCCCTCCCATTGACTCTTGCGTCACTTGCTTTGCGCTTTCGCTTGCTCGTAGCTGACCTTCAGAACCCATGCCGTACCAGTACGCGACCCCGACGCGACCTCCGACGCATGCCCCGCGACCAGGATACCCGCCGCAAGCTCACCCGCAACATGCGGCGCACGCGCAGCCCCAGCGGCCGCAGGTCTACCAACTGCCGCTGCAGTATCCCGACGGACCGCTCGGCTTCTTCCTTCCTCCGCCGGGACAGCGCACGCTTGATCCGACACTGCAGACCCCGCCGGCGACGCAGGGCCTGTTCACGACGTACCCGTCGCGTCTGCGGACGGGAGTCACGTCGCTGATGCAGCCTGAGAATGCAGAGGGCGGACCGAAAGAGCGTGAAGCCTGGAGCGAGCAGTTCGATATCGACGAAGCTGCTCGGAGTTCTGGCGCCAACACGCCCAGGACGGACAGCCCCGCGCCCCGGTTAAGCCGCACCACGACGACGACGCTTAGCGGGCGTCGTGCAGGACGGGTCAACTATGCCGAGAAGGAGAGCTCGGATGAGGAGGAGGAGGAAAGCGAGGAGGAGATTGAAGAGGCTGCGTCTGACCCGGATGACGACACGTATGGAGAAAGGAAGAGGAAGAAGGATGACCTCGTCCAGCAGCAGAAAGTCATCAAGCGCAAAAAGCGCGAGGAGCAGGCAAAGACGTGGACGTGGATCGGTGACCGCGTACCCGCTGAGCGTGTCACGAGCTCGCTCGCGCCGCGGTCGCGCATGGAGGTGCAGTGAGTACAGCTGTCCGTGTATGCTACTGGAGCTGACGACAGATCCGAGGAAAAGCTTCAGGCGGAGGCGGGACGCGCCGAGGCGCTCGTCCCGATCAGCATCGACTACGACATTCCCGACCCTAACGGGGAAGGCAAGGGACTCAAGATTAAGGATCGGTTCCTGTGGAATGCGTCCGAGCCGTTTGTCAAGCCGTTCGAGTTTGCGACCATCTTCTGCCACGACGTCGGCATCCACGAGAACAACGCCGCGACGATAGCCGAGCTCATCATGTCGCAGGTCGAGGAGCAGCAGAATGCGGTCGCAATTGACCTCGCTACGCGCGATGTGACGCCCGACGACGTCGTGTTCTCGGATGACGAGTCTCCTGCCGACGACGAGTACCCCGAGCCCGACTGCCGCATCATCGTCAACCTCGACTTGCAGATCTTCCAGCACGTGCTCCGCGACCGCATCGAGTGGGACCTGTCCTCTCCCCTGCCGCCAGCAGAGTTTGCGCGGCACTACTGCGCCGAGCTCGGCCTGACGGGCGAGGCGGTGCCCATAGTCGCGCACGCGATCCACGAGGAGCTGATCAAGCACAAGCGCGACGCGCTCGAGATGGACCTCTTCGCGCAGACGCATCCCGGAGAACAGGCCAAGTGGGAGCGGACAGGAGGACAGCCCAAGACCAACTCGCGCACGGGAGCCAAGGGCCTCGTGGGTGTGTGGCGCGACTGGTGGGAGAGGGACGAATTTTCGCCCCTCCTGTTCGAGATCAGCCACGACGACATGGTCAAGCGTGAGCAGGAGCGGAGCCGTGAGGCGCGGCGTATCATGCGCACGCTGCATACGAGTAAGAGGAGGAGATAGGCGAACCCCTCCAGCGGAGCGAGTAGTGCGAGCAGCAGGGAAGGAGGGTGGCGTGGCAGGGGGGGAGGACATTAAGACGAGAACTTGGGGACAGTGTAGCCAGCTTGTAGAACTTAGACGCAGACGTATAGTTTATCTCTTCCATGAATGTCTCAAGGGATACTACTGAGGGCTTGGAGGACATGTATAGTCCGCTAATCTTCTACGACAGCGGCTGTCAGTCTCGCCTTGCGGGCGCGCGCAGTACCAGGCCGCGTTTCAAGCCACTGGGGTCGTCGGTCCACAGCGACCGCAAGAACTCCACGGCTAAATCGCGCTTGCTCTCCGTAGGCGGTCTTCAGGACGCAAGAGTGCGCTGCAAACTTTTTCCGTCCTCCGGCATGGAGCATAGACAGCCCAGTCATCCAGTCTGATCAGGATTCATCACTTTAAGGTGGTTGGTTCGAGGTCGATGAAATTCAGTTTCTTGTTGCCAGAGGCAGAGCACAGCTACACCTCCTTCGCAACTGCAGAAGGCTAGATTGACATATGGAGAAGATACCCAGCAAATGGCATCATCTATGCGTTTGTAGCGTTGAGGCAGCGATGGCTTGAAATTGTTGACCTGGGGTGATGATCCACTCTAGCTGACTGGGGTGTGTACCAGATGGGCTTATCGCACAGACACATGAGAGAGTTCATGTACAGTTCAGGCGCCACCGGCGTATCGACCCCACGGAGGACCGGGCACTCTACTCCGGCTGCCTCACCGCCGACGCGTTGCAGCTTTGACCGCCTGCACGAGCCCTCCTCGTCATGTTCACTCCCCTCAGCCGGAGCCCCCTTTGTCATGTTTGCCTCCCCCGACGCGGCGACGCGAGGAAGGCGATAAAAGGCGCCCCTTCGGCGACATTCTCCTACTACTAGCTTTTCCTATGAGCGCGTCACAGTGGGTATACTGACATCTCGCATATGCTGAGCCAACAGAATCAGAGATAGAACATAATGACTCAACTGCTTAGCGACAGTTCGGCTCAGTCGGGCGTGAAGGTCGCATCGAAAACAGATTCGAGGGCCAAGTCGAAGGTAAGGTCGAAGGCCAAGAGGAACGCGAGGAAAAGGGGCAAATCAGTCTCTGCGTCCAGCGAGCGTCTTATCCCCATGGAGCTTCTGGAGGAGATTTGTGAGCACTTGGCCGACGACAAGGCTTTCGGGACTCTGGCGGCTGTCCTCCAGACTGGGTCGCTGGCCTATGATGTGGCGGCGTGCGTGCTGTACCGGGAGGTCACTATCGACGACAATTTCCCCGCCTTCCTGGCTGGTCTCGAACACGCCTCGGGGACCAAGCAGCAACTTCTGCGCAACGTACGGCAGGCGACGGTCGGCATAGTGTCGGACAACGATGTTTTGCGCGACTGCATCGAGCGCAAGCACTTCGCTCCCGGGATGGGCTTAGATGCGCCACTGTTCTCGTCCTTGGACAGTCTGCACATTTCAGCTTCCTCTTTCCTCAACATGTCGGCCGGGGGCGATCATCCGATACGTGAGTTGCTGCGGGGCTGTCGCCCCTCGCACGTGTGCGTCTCTTATCCTCCTCCCCGTCTGCTCATGGCAATCGCATCCGTCTTGGTGCTCTGGGAGATGCGCCCGGATATCCCAACAGTGCATAATGGGGCCCCTGATGGAGGTCGCCAAGCGTGTGGCGCTGACCGGACGTCCCTCAGGCTTGGAAGACGTGAGGGCTTTGGGCTCAGCGGCGTCGCACTTCGAGCTCCGGCCCGGGCTCAACAGAGAAGAGCTGAGGATGGTGAGGGAGCTTCAGGAGCGGCGGGGAAGGAGGGTCCACGTGCTCTTGAGTGCGCCGCGCGGCATTGATGCGCTCATGAAGCTCCTGCGGCCGAAGAATGTGACGCTGCACGGGTTCCACTTCTACTCGGACGAGAGCGAGGCCGAGCCCAACTGTCCTCTAGCCATCGACCCGATGGCTTGGCCGTCGCCCGAGGAGAAGTAGCGCATCATGGCCGCAACCCCTGCGGACACACACGGCGGCCACGTGCCCGACAAAGCATGCCCAGTGGATTATACAGGGGAGCCGCTCTGCACCTGCAACGGCCGCGACATTTGGGAACGGCTGCAGAGTTCATCCCTTGGGTCGACGGGAGGGAGTACTGGCGTCGCAAGGGCCGGCTCGCGGGGCTGGGCGAGCGTGGCGAGCTCGTTGCCGAGGATGCCCCTCGGCGTGTCCTCGAGATTGTCAATGTGGGGCATAATACGAGCCTCAACTGCAGCTGTAAAGGAGCGTACACCGCAATGGTGCGGCAGCTGAAGCGGTCGCTCTTTCGCTGGACAAACGGGCGGAAAGGCATCCCAAACGTGTCAGAGGCGGAGCAGCGTCTGATGGAACCGCACGAGCTCGGAGCGAAGCTGTCCCTCGATGTGCGCATGCCCCACTGGAGCGACGCGAGGCAGACCCCATGCCCCTGCGGGCAAGAAGCGTACTGTGGGAAAGATGAAAAAGAGGAGCCCAAGGTAGAGGTCGCGAAGCGAATGCGCGACTGTGTAAGTCTTCCCGTTACTGGCTCCCCACTTGCTCTACATGCTTGATAACGTAGTAGCCTTCGATTCGAGCCGAAGAGACTAACGCCCAGCTCCAGAACCATTCCTTCGAAAAGACTGCCTTGCCCGCTGTCTCCTCCCTCGACCTCTTACTTGCCTGGCTTGGCGATTTGCCTTTAACTCACCCTTCACCCCGCCAGAGCGACTCTCCTGAGCTGAGCCAGGTCGAGATGGAGAGTGACAGCGATATGTAGCGGCAGTAACTTGGACAGTGGTAGCAGCAATGACAGGTACGGGAACCTGAATAAGAGCGACTTTCTTGTGTATGCAACTTCGTTCGAAACGCCGGAACGCTCTCACAAGCTCAGTGTTTCTGGAAGACCATTCGCGGCAGGTCTGCCGCACTGCTGTATGTAGCCATCCCTGGTAATTTCCTTTGAGATGGTTTACCGGTTATAATGTCAATGCAGTGGAGAGCGATGTGTTGAATGCGTAGCGAGGAGGAAGTCGGCCACGAAATGGTCTGGCGAATGTTGACATCGGGAAGACATCCCCGGGGCCCCACATCTGCGTTGAAACCTTTCTGACTGACGATACCCAGCACACACGGTGGAGAGCATAGTCCGTTTGGAACCGATGCAGAACGAGTATCGAGCAGCAAAGCATAGTGCTCGTCACTATTTATACGCTTGAATTGCGCTGGCGAGCAGCACAAGCACGTCAGCCGTCGACCTTGGCATTCCGTCTTCGTCCACATCTGATATGAAATCCGCCCACGGACGGGTTTACTGGAACCGCAGTTTCGAAACTCGTTCGCCAAGATACGCTCGCATCTTGTGCTCCCCAGCTGCTAATAGCAATTTGGTCAGCTCGATGAACTGCAGAATGTGGCCCCGACGGCGGAGGGCCCTCCGTCAACAATTAAGCTCACACGACCTGGGCTGTCGATTGGCCGCCGATGATGGCAGGCATCACACACTTGGTGCGAGAAAGCACCCCACCACCGTCCCAGGCGTTCGTGCAATCGCATTGCTGGGCTCCGTCCTCCGTCATCGCGGGGCTCGCTAGCCCCGCCAAGAGCGCGGAGGTGCGTACGGGAGAACCAACAGCGATGCGTAGCGGGAACGGGACGGCCGATCGCGAAATTCTGCAGAACCACAAGCAGATGCAGATCCAAACAGAGGTTCTACGATATCACATGGCCGTTTCCAGTGAAGCTGATGCCAAGGGCCGCCCAGGGCCGGGCACGTGCACCGGCTTGTGCAGGTCCGAGAATAGCTGCAGAAGTTCTCGGATCATCGCAGGGTGGCGCCATCCAGTCGCGTTGAGAGGATCGAGAGCATCGAAGAGCAGGAATCCAGGGACAATCAGGACCAGACAACCCCTCAAAGATACGGGCTCTCAGTGGCAAATTTCAAAATCCAAGCGAAAAGGTCAGATTTTGCTTGCCGACCTGCCGAAAAGGTCAGATCTTCGGCAAGAAAGGTCAGATTTTATCTCGAGTTGACGTGCCTACGTTCCACAAGAGTATGCATGCTGATTCGGTGTTCGGCCAGGCCGGCGAGGTTTTTGCGATGCATTGCGGGGCCGCTCTGCACAGGGCAGGCAATGGCGAGTCGAGCGAGGCGGGCGAGTTCCGAAATCTGCAGAGGAAATGTCAGTCTGCGGCGAGTGAAAGATGCGGAGATGTCACGAATGGTCAGCTTGTGTGAGATGAGGCAAGAAATTTCATGTGTTGCAGAGCAACTTTTAGAACGCCGAGCTCGTCTCCGGCCCGCTGTGCCGACTTTGATCAGCTGCTTCGGCGGGTACCGCAGAGCAGCAGTGGAGCGGTGTCTAACCTTGCTGCGTTCGGGCCTGGCGGGCCTGCGGAGATACTGGTAGTACGGCTTGCTGCGCTGCTGGAATTGGACACGGGCAAGCGCCTCCAAGCCTCCAGATCCCGGGTGGATACCCCTTCCCTGGGAGGTGGTTGCCGGTATCTCTGAGCCGGCGGCATGATTTGCGATTTCGAATGACCCCCAGGTCCCCTCCCAGGCTCATCCTTCAATCAGCGCGAGTCGTCAGCGGACTCCCAGATACGCTTCTGCCTCCTGCTGGCTTCTGCTGGAGTGTGATGGCTTTTCTTGGCTCATCCCCACTGCTCCCCACCTAGAATTTCCGATCTGGATAGAGCCCCTCCCCACCGCTTCGCACCCTGGCGATTGCAGCCCCGGACTCCGCACCGGAGCTCCTTGCTGTTCTTGCCAGTAGTGGGAATGCGTCCCAGATCGTGCGGAACCCGAATGGCCGGTGAGCCGTTCCCCCAGTTTATCCAGCTGGAACTGTTACCAGATATATACAGGCGCGAGCTGAAAAGGTCAAATATCGCTCTCCCCCCTCTTCACACATTTGACCTTTTCGTTCGCCACCACTAACGATGGCGACAACACAGCAACAGCAACAGGACAAGGGTTACTCGACCGCACAGGTCGTCGAGTCTGTCCGCGTCGGGCAGCACGCGTGGGGCCCGTACGACAATGGCGACAAGGAGGCTCAAGTCGCGGTCGACCCCGATGCGGCGCCGAGGAACTTTAGGTTCATCTCACTGAGTGAGTGGAGCTGAACACTAGCCACAGGCTAGTCGTGACCATCACCTGCTCAGAATGTATCTGGGCTCCACCACTCGAACATCGGTGGTGCGGAGACAGAGCATGAGATGGAAACATAGTATGGGCATGAGATAACTAACATGCAGTCGGTATGGCCTATGCCATCCTCAACTCGTGGACGGCGATGAGCACTTCGCTCTCGCTTGCGCTTCCCTCTGGTGGTCCTGTCGCCGTTGTCTGGGGCATTCTCCCCTCTTTCGTCGGTAACCTCTGCATGGCTGCTTCCATGGCCGAGATCTGTGCCGTCTACCCCACCTCGGGCGGTCAGTACCACTGGACCTACCTGCTTGCCCCTCCCTCGATCGCCCGTTCTCTCTCCTGGGTGGCCGGCTGGTTCTCGACCTGTGGCTGGATTGCTCTTGCCGCCACTGCTTCGTCTCTCGCGGGACAGCTGATCACGGGCGCCTACGCCCTCGCGCACCCCGACTACGAGCCTGAGCGCTGGCACATCTTCGTCGTGTACACGGGCTACGCCCTGATTGCTCTGGCACTGAACCTCTTCTGCCTGCGCCTTCTGCCTGGCCTCAACCAGCTCGCCATCTTCTGGTCCCTGACGGGTCTCACCGTGATTGTCATCACGATCCTGTCCTGCTCCTCTGGCAACTTTGCCAGCGGCAAGTTTGTCTTCACGCAGTTCACGAACGAGACCGGCTGGCCGGACGGATGCGCGTGGATCCTCGGCCTGCTGCAGGCCTGTTTCGGCCTGACGGGCTATGACGCCGTCTCGCACATGGTGGACGAGATGCCGCGTCCGTCCGTGTACGCTCCCCGCGTCATGATGGCCAGTGTCGGAATCGGCGCCGCGACCGGGTTCGTGTTCCTCGTCTCGCTCCTGTTCTGCATCAAGGACGTCGACGTCGTCAACACCTCCAAGGCGGGCGCGCTCATCGAGGCGCTGCACCAGGGCACTGGGTCTGTGGTTGGCGGCGTCTGCCTCTCCGTCTTCTCCATCGTGTGCATGGCCTTCACGGCGCAGGCGCTCCTGACCGCCTCGTCGCGCATGACCATGGCCTTTGCGCGCGACCGCGGCATGCCCTTCTCGCGCCTCTTTGCCAAGGCGACGCGCGGCGTTCCCGTCCCCGCCATCCTGCTCAATGCCGCCCTCGTCATCCTCTTCGGATGCATCTACCTCGGCAGCGACAGTGCGCTGAACGCCATTCTCTCGTCGTCGGTTATCTCGCTCAACGTCTCGTACTCTATCCCCGTCGCGCTCATTCTCATTCGCGGACGCAAGCTCCTCCGCCCCAAGTCGTTCGCGGGCGAGCCCTCGTTCTCCCTCGGCCCCGTCTGGGGTCCTATCTGCAACGTCGTCGGCCTCGCTTTCACCCTCGTCACCACCGTCTTCTTCCTCTTCCCCCCCGAGCTCCCCGCCACGGGAAGCAGCATGAACTACGCCGTCGCCGTGTTCGGCTTCGTCGGCATTGTGTCCGTCATCACCTGGATGGTCGACGGTAGGAAGAACTTTACTGGTCCTCGCGATCTCGGCGGTCTCCTTGAGCTCGCCCACGCCGAGATCGGTGAGGACAGCAGCGACCAGTCCTCTGTCCAGGAGGTCGCTGAGACCAAGGCGTAATCAGTACGAGTAAAAGTACATAGGGATGGGTTGGGATGAGTCTAACGAGAGTCGGAGGAGTTATTAGGCATAAGTTTCATAGTCTTTAGTTAGCTTGGCAATTAATCAGCAAGATTGACGTAAGTGATTGGATGACCTTATGTTGTATGCATAGAAATGAGGAACACACATCCGGGGTAGACAGTGTGCACAGTAGTGTTTAATGTGGCTCTGCGGGGATGGTTAGAGCTCGTCGTGCTCGAACTCTTCCTCCTCCTCCTCCTCCTCGTCCTCATCGTCATCCTCGACTGGCTCCTCGAGCTCGTCCTCGTCCTCGATGCGAACCTCGTCATCAGCGTCCTCAGCCGGCTCGGCATCGGGCGCGCTCTCAGTGCCCGTGGCGCCCTCCTCCACGACAACGCCGTCAGCAACCTCGCTGTCCTCGCTCTCGACCGGCTCGGCGACGCCAGGCTCCTCAGCCGCAACCTCGTCATCTGCATCCTCGGCCGGCTCGGCGTCCGGAGCCGTCTCAGTACCCGAAGCGTTCTCCTCGTCCTCATCATACTGGGCCTGCTGTGCCGCACGCTGGGCAGCGAGCTTCTCGCGACGGATCTTGTCGCGGCGCTCGGCCTCGTCCATCTTGGCACGGAGGCGGGCACGACGCTCAGCCTCGCTTTCGCCGGACTGGGCCTTCTTCGCCGAGCCCGAGTTGGAGCCGGAGGGCTTCTCCTTCTCCTCTTCTTCGGTGGGACGGATGTCGCCCTTGAGCGCGGCCTCGAGCCACTCGAGCAGAGGGTTAAACTTCATGGGACCTGGTTGTCAGTTACGGACGGGCACTGAAAAACTGACCCTTGTAAACCTCGACGGAGCCCTGGTCCGCACCAGCAGGCCAGAAGAGGAGACGGGCATCACCACCCGCCTCGTCCGCAATCGCGAGCACATCACCAGCAGCGTCCTTGACGTATCCGAGAGAAGCCTGCCGTTAGCTAAAACGCAGCCACTAAGCCCACCTTGCTCGAGAGACGGTGTCCGAGGACCTTCCACAGGAAGGGAATGCTGGGCTGAGATGGGTGCACAAGAAGAGCGTGAGGAAGGTCCTTCTTCTCCTTGAGGAAGCCCTTGACGACGGGCTCGGCAGGGCCATCGACGCGCAGCTTCTTGACGCGGTCGGGGACGAGCGTCTTGGCGTACTCAACGAGGGCGCCGCGGCGACGCTCGCCGTTGTAGTCGCGCGCGGAGCCCTTGCCCGCGCGAGGGAACGCCTTAATCGTCGGGAAACCCTGTACGCCGTACTGCGCGCAGAGAGCGCGGTTCTTGTCCTCGTCGCAGTCGACAGTGTAGAAAGGGATCAGCGGGGAGAGACTCTGCGCGGCAGCCGTGAACTCCGGTCCGAGGTTCTTGCAGTGTCCGCACCTGTCTGTCAGTTGTCGAGTTGTATCCGTAACTGAGAAGAGGTAGCATGAGTTCACCCCGGGGAAGACACTCACCAAGGCGCAACGAAGGCAACCATGGAGGCGTGCTCGTTGCCCATGACATCTTTGAACGACTTGGCGTCGAGCTCGACAACAGGAGCGCCGTACATGCCCGCATGAACCTGGACGAGAGCCGCCAGGCCCGACAGCGTTACCGCCAGAGACGGGAGGTGCATTGGGTTTTGTGTAATTTAGACGACGATGAAGCTGAGGGAAGGTGGGAGGGTGACTCGACAATAACAAGCAACTATGACCTCAGTCTGCGGATGGTCGACAGCGCCGATTGCCAGCACAGCCAGGCACGGCGTTTCGATCGACACGTGGAGCCATTAGTGTCAGCCCGTAATCGACATCCTAATGAAAGAATGTGCGGATTAAGAGAACTTTACGAGCCGACATGCCTGGCCATGCTGGCATGCCAGCGCGGCACTGATGTGCGCTGGAAGCTGACAGCAAAGTGTGCAGTGGCGCGAACGCACGGTAAAATGGCGATAGTCCTTAGTAACGGCTATGTGTCGGTGCAGGTCAGATGATCACCGTTGCTCCAGCGATTACACTTGAATGCCGGCGTGCGTGACAGCCGTCACATTCACTCACTATCAGCGCTGGAAGTGTGACGGGAAGAGTGGGTGAGGAGGTCTATTTTACGTGGAGCTGGTCTCCACGATCTCCACGTATGGCATGTCTGACCGTCCCTCGGCGAGAAGGAACAGACGAGGAGCGATGAAGCGGGTGCTGGCACACAGGCCCTCAGTCCAAGCGACCACAACGACCATACCTAGATGTAGACGCCGGGGTGTGTCCTCTGATGCATGGGGGTCGATTGCGTCGGCACCGTCGGCACATGAGGCACACGCAGACAAGAGGCTACTAACCAAGTTTTGTGGTGGGCACGAAGCCGTCAATTGCCGGGTCGGCAGCCGAGGGAAAGGAATGGAAGCGCGGTCAAGCTATGATAGCGGATCATAGCAGACTGACAAGCTGACATGCATGAGACCAGCGATGCGAGTGAGTACGCGTGGAAGGTTTACTCTGTGACTTTGAGCGGAGACCGAAAGGACAGAATAAGGTACCGGTGAAGGGGACAAGCTTCGACTAACAGAGCCGTTCGTGATGGAACCTAAGGAAGGAACGGAGGAACATCGATGACGGATCTCACAGCTGGGCGCTAGCAGCGCAGCGCCCACACGCTGACGAAGTGTTGCCAGGCACTCAGGCACATCTCTCCACAGTCGCGTGGCATGTGGGGATGCATGGCTGAGCATGAGGTCGGAGGCGTCAGCAGGCGCAGATGAGGCTGCGGAAGTGCGCGGTCGAAAGCCCTCGCTGTGTGCGGGTGCACACATGCGGGAGATCGAGACGAGGGCCGTAGTGTCGCAGTGGAGTGGCGCCGAGCTTGCTTGCAATGCCAGGGGCGTTGTGCATCACTGGGCAGCCTGTTCAAAGCATGTCAGACATCGCGTAGCTCCGCCCCTCACCCCTGCCCTGCCCGTTTGTCAGTCACACTCATCGTACATCGATCTGACAGCAGAAGCAGTGACGCAGTGGCGGATGACGGCCCGACAGACAGCAGCATGGAGGCATGGAGCGCAATGGGCCAGGAAGAGCAGACGACTGAATGCACTCCACTCACCAGTGACGGCGATCGCATTGTTTGACCACTAAGTTGCCACTTGTGGATGGCGGACCGAAGTGTCCACCCCTCTACGCCCACCGAGCCACCGCACCACTGTGCGCCACTGAGCTCACCGAGCCCCGGCGGCACCCTCGGCCACTCGACGCCCATCGCACACGCCGGCGTCATCAATCTCCACCCACCCATCGCCCAGAAGTGCACTCCGTCGGCCAATTCTGTATTTCTCGGCCCAACCTGATCCGATCCACGGCGACTACGGCCGGGAGGCGGGAGACGACATCATCGGCGGGATCGTACGGCTGTGCATGGCAGATCTGCTTACTCGGCGTAGTGATGGGATGCATGCGATCATAGGGCGGGATGCATGCAATTGATATGTCGCAGTGAAAGACAGGAGGGTGTCAGTGGCTGCAGCATAGAAGCGAGGCGCGCACTAGACTGCGGCGCTGGTGGCCGGTGGTCCGCTTGGCTGTTAGATGGAAGTGGAGGTGGAGGGGTGAGATGCATCCGAAGGGTCGAGAGAAGGGGGGCGGCGTTGCCACCGGGGCGGGGCGGGCAGCAGGACGGTGGCACGCTGGGTGAGGCTGTGGTGTGGGCTGTGGGAATGAGAGTGGAGGTTCCAGGTCGGCCTAGCGCGTGCCCAACGCCCTGGAGCGCAGGCGCACGGCGGCTCTCGATTGCACGGCGCACGCAGGAGATTACCCTGTGACTTGCATGCAGATCCTTAGCTGAGGGTCCATAGGGTTGACCCGAGGGACAAGGGACGCTACGCTGGTGCGCTGGTGCACAGGACCCCGGGCCCAGCAGAACCCAGCAGGTCCCAATAAACCACCGCCCAGAGCGGCAAATCTTCAATCATAACCCTACACCACACGCTTCTCTGGCTCCTCTGGCTCCGCCGCTTCGTACCGTAGTCGCCCTCGTCACTATCGCTCACCGCCCCTCGCCGGCGTTCCCCTCGCTCTACCCTGCCAGCCTAACTCGCTCCCCTCCTCCCCTCCCCCCTGGCCCCCTACCCAGCACCAGAACCGTCTACCGCCTACTACGCCTGCGTCTACGCCTACGACCCCGCCGTGCCGTGCCCGCGTGCCCGATAGCGCGACACCTCACCGCACTCAGCTCTGCGCACTCACCGGCCGCCTCCGTCAAAGCCCTTACTCAGCCTACCCAACCCAACCCCACCCTACCGCCCCTCACCCACCACCACCACAGTCCCTCAATTGCCGAGTCGACTCCTCACTCGACCACATCCTCCTCACGCTTTATCTATAACCCATCCCTCCGTCTCCATTTCTCCACCTCTACATCTCTCGTCTCTCTCACTCTCTACTCTCCACTCGATCCACTCGTATACCAACACCCAGCTAATTATCACCCAACATGTGAGTTCAGAAGCGCTACCCGACGTCGCCATCCACCCGACCCCACTTATCGGCTGGATTCATGGATGGACCGACTGCAGGATTGCACCATACGGTGGCAAATATGATCAATTCGGTGCGACGAGTGCGTGACTGGCACCCGTCATTGGAGCCTTCCAGGTCACCCCAACGGCTCTCGTCGCTACCGATCGTCATGGCCCCGTTGCTTCACTGCCATTGTTGCTCGTTTGACCATCGATGCTGACGCTATTTCCTCATTATTCCTCGGAACCGGTATCGATTGTCCGCATTTCGCTCGTTCTGCCCCCCTCTATCGCCCACTGGCACCCCGAACACTGCCTCGTCCTCGAAACAACCCCGTATCTCGTTGCTACCAACAATCACAAACGCACAGGCCCGCCAAGAAGCGCTGCCAGTTCAAGGTCATCTACAACATCCCGGTTAAGTCCGAGGGTGAGGCCCAGGAGGACGCTGCTCCCGAGTCGCCCAAGCCCATGACCGCCAACCCCCCGACGCAGTGCCCGTCAGCAGCCCTCAAGTTTGCTGGTGACTGCCCGCACTGCAACAAGGTGTTCTGCAGCGTTCACCGTACTCCCGAGACACATAACTGGTGAGTATGATTGATCATGCGATCATCCATCCCTTGAAGCGATTACGCTGACTCCACCCAGCTCTGGTATGCAGGCATGCCGCGACGCCGCCTTCCAGGCCAACAAGGAGCGCCTGGAGCGTGAGCGCACTGTTGCGAGCAAGATCGCGCAGGCTTAGACGCACATCTCATTCGCCATTTGCCTTCATGACATTACTCCCCCATCATGACCAACCATTCTGTGGACAATGATATAGAGGGTTTTGTTTCTTCGTGCATTTACCCATCCCATTGCACTGTGTAGTCTCGTTGTACCATCTAATCACGCTCATGTAGAACGTAGATCAATGAATCTGTGTCCTTGTAAGGTTGTCGTTCCAGCTGCTGTCGTTACCCCGTTGTAGTCGTCTGACGTGTGCCGCATGCGTTGGCAGACATGGTGAACCCGCGCCTCCCAAGGTGAGGCAGAGGGCGTACGTGGGTTCCGGGTGGCTGCAGCCGGCACTCGTCTTGAAACTGATGTTGAGTTGTACCCCTGCCCGCTCTGCATTGCAATGCTTGAACAATGAGAATGTGCGACTCTTAAAGGAGGTCGGGCCCATGCATCCCTGTGATCAAGTCTCGACTCGGCGGTCAAGGCTATGCACGATCCCCAGTTGACCAGTTGATCCGTTCATCACCGACGCTTGGTGTCGCTGAGCTGGGCGGTGTAATGCAGATTTGAACTGCGCTCGATGCCCCCCGCACGCGTGCAGATTATCCAGATTAGGTCAGATTAGGTGGCATGGTAAATGGGCCGTGGCTGGTGGTCAGCGGTGACCGACGGTGGAGGCACGGCAGAGTGACGTATTACCGCCCCTATCGTGTCTCGGTCGTCCAGTTCTGGCCAGTCTCTCCCCTCCTCCGTGTTTCCATCGGGCTGGCTCACCTCGTCCACAGATCGCAGACCCGAGTAACCACCACACTCCCTCAGTACTCCATTACCCCCTGTTTCCCCTCCGCCTGACCCGTCGCCTCTGTCAATCCCATCCTTTTCTTGATCCGCGAGGTAAACGCCGTTGCGCTTCGGCCCGACGCTACCGACGACATCGACATCGACAGACGCGACTCGCGAAAAATCCCAGCATCATGTCGGGTGTCGATCCGTCTAACCTGCCCTACAAGGCCCGTCAACCGAGGGCTCGTCCTCAACGCGCGCTGCCTCCTCCTCCCGATGAGGACGTTGCGACCGAGGTTGCCATGGACCTGGCCGGCCGCTTCGCGTCGCCTCCGTCTCCGCCAAAGGCGCCGCCGATGCAG